TGCTCGCCTTCGGGCCCTTCGTCCTGGAGCTGGCGGCCGGCAGCGCGGTGGGAGGGCTCCGGGAGCGCCCAGGGCTGCCAGGCCGCTCCGCCTGCCAGGCGCCGCCGCCGAGCCCGGCCCGACGTTAGGCTTCCCGCGGCGCTGTCAAAAAGCCCCGGGTATGCTGGGATGTTTTGCTGTCGTCGGTGTAAAAGGGATTTGTCGTTTTTTTACACGTATGGTAGAAGCCATGTATTTTACTCAGGTTATGAAAAGACTTAAGAGTCGTAAAGGGACATAAAGTCACTTGAATTCCTCCTTCAAGTGTAATGTTTTTAGGAAATAAAGTCATCTTCTCTTTATAGCCTATTCCCGTCTTGCTAAAATGTGGTTTGTTGTGGTGGGTTTTTTTGTTGCAACCAGGCCAATATTCTGAAATGTTACTTAGAGGAAATTCCTGCTAGCTTCATTATGGAATTTGGCTTAGGTATCCGTATGGTAAAACTTAAATGGAGGGGTTTGTCGATAGTTTGTGACAGCGGTAAGATTGATATTTCCCCAAGGTTTTGACTACCAAAACCAAATACCCCAAGCTTAAACTAAGTCCTGTTTGGTGTATGTTTAGGCATTACTTCACCAGAATGTTGTTAACCTATGTTACATGTGTTCAGTTTCAGGTTGTTCAAATGTCCGGATCTCTTTAGATACAGCTTGGCTGGGTGGAACTGTTCTTGGCTAGAAACTATGAAGAAACAATTTGCATAAAAATTCTACAAGACTGAGGCCATGGCATCTTCAGCAAACTTAGATGCCGGGGCCCAACTAATTGTAGAAGAATGTCCCACTAGCTACAGCCTTCCGCCCATGCCGGACATTAAAGTGGAGAATCAGCTTGAATCTAGCACAGAGGAAGGCCCAGCTCAGAGTGTCGCCATGGGAATGAAATTCATTTTGCCCAATAGATTTGATATGAATGTCTGCTCGCGATTTGTGAAATCTTTGAATGAGGAGGACAGTAAAAATATTCAAGACCAAGTTAATTCTGACCTTGAAGTCGCATCTGTCTTATTTAAAGGTTGAACTTTATGGTACAAGTTGTTATGTGTGAACTGTGTCATCCTGTTAAGCTGTTATGTTTTTTTTTAAAAAAAAATGTCTCTGCCTTATATGTGTATTAATCAGTAATAGTTTTCTAAGATTTCTTCCCCTAACATTTTTATTATATGTTTAATGCAATATGAATGTAAAATTAATTTTCCCTAAGATAATTTTTTTAAATCAAAATTTTAATTATTTAGTTGAAAAAGTAGCAGCACAGGAAGTTTCTAGTGTAATTTAATAAGAGGTGGTGCTGGTTATGAAAACCGTGTCCTACAACATGCTACACATTGTTGAATCTGTGTGTCTTTACAGAACACTACTGAACACTATATGATCGTTTGAACTTCAGTAGCTTTCTGCAGCACATTTTCTTTTCACTAGTGCAATAGCAAAATAACATAGGTCATGTGGTTGACTTTGTTTTTATCAATATGGCTGTACAAAGCCTGTAGTTGTTGTAGTGATTAGTTTGCCAGTTTAGCTTTGCAGTACTTAAAAGTGAATGTTGCTCCAATTCTGGATTGCTGCGGCTAATCTCCAGCCATTGCTGGGCAGCTTCATTAGAATCAATCTGTGCTTTTTCATGACTGAGCGTATCAACAGACAACAGAATTAGGGCTTCCATCTATTTCCCTTTAACAATTGTGATTTCCAGTGCTCACTGTCATATTTCAGACTGCTAGTGATGTGTCTTTTCATGAGGTTGAATTTGACCCATTTCCTGTAACAAATGCAAACACCGACTTGTTCTGGATTTTGATGTTTTCTCTGATTTGTATTGTTTGGCTGGAGTTCAGCCATTGTAATTTTCAAACTTTTTTGATTTGCAGGCCCTAAGTGCTTACTAGTGGAGCTGCAGACCTGAATGGCAAATTTAGACCCATCAGCGATAGGGTTGTTTTTCTTGGGTAATATTTGTGAACCCCTTAGAAGTAGTCCTGCGGATCCAGAGACCGCAGGTCAAAAACCCCGGTAGGTCTATTACTTTGATCATGTCAGCTGTAGCAATTTGATTGGCAAACAAAATGTAATCTCATTTTCATCTTGTTACCCTCTACTTCTTTTAGTTGGTTCTCTCCCCAGATTTGCACTTGGGTTTATGATCATGAAGTTCTCTATGGTGTGAATTCAGTGTGCATGTTAATTAGCTTCCAGTCATTAATTACTAGTGCACACTGGTGTTGAATCAATTTAGCAAATAATGGAGTTTAATCCTTCAATATGTCTTTCCATTATTTAATCAGTTAGCATCTTATTTGGCTTCTCAGCTACTTCTTAAAATCTAAAGCTACTTTTGAGAATTAGAAGCCAAGATAATGTATAGATATTCTGTAATAAATGCCATTAGATTCTAATAGGGAGCTAGGAAAGTTAGTACAAATGTTAGTATAAAATTCAGCAGCACTGACTTCTTGAAGTCTTAAGTGGTGACCTGCTGTTGCATTTTATGTAAGTTAGCATGGAATATCTCTCTCCCTGCTGGGTAAGTGTTCATAATGCAGTTACAATTTTATCCAACAGGAGTGGAAGAAATCCTGGTGAAGAAAATTAGTGATCATCTCCGCAGTAGACTGGTTAGGAAGTGGGCAAAGGGATGAGCTGAGCAGTTACCTGACCACATGGCTGACCAGAGCTGCATCATGTTATTGCACTGGAGAGTGTTAGTAAGGATATAACAGGCTAAGTGGGGTCATCTTGCCTGGTAAATCCATGCCAGGCATGTTGAAAGCCTAGACAAAGGCTTACTGAATTTAGACACCAGCTTGTCTCTGGGTGATGTTACGCCATACTGATGTGTGGGGTAGCAGCATTGTTTTATGCTGGAAATTAATACAACCCTTTATTCAACTCTCATGATACATAGTGGAAAAAGCACACATCACAAAGCTTATTTAACACAGTTTTTAAAGATCTTGTGATACTGGTGCTCTCTAGTTTGACTTAGAATCTACGGCTTGCTTTTAATGCTCTTAGTAGTACTAAAATCCTGTCTGTTCTCTCTGTTCAATGTAGCTGAATGCAACATCCACACTTCTCCTTCCCCTGGTATCCAAGTAAGACACGTTTATACTCCCTCAACTACTAAGCATTTCTCACCAATAAAACAATCAACTACCCTAACTAATAAACACAGAGGAAATGAAGTCTCTACAACACCTCTGCTTGTAAACTGTAAGTATCTTTCTGCCTTACTGTTAATAATTATTTTGTGAACTGTATGTTAGATGTTTGACAGATTTTTCCAATCTTTTCTTCGGTGTTGTAATGAACTTTAATATAGGAAGAAAATATTGAGATACTGTGGTCTAATTTCACATGGTTCCAAAGATAAAATAGTAATCCACCTGCTGTATTGAACTCATGACTGCAGCATATTTTCCCAAAACGGTTCAATTCTTGATTTAAAAAATATAGGTAAAGATTTTTCTAATCCTTTCTAAGCTTTAAGTTAATATGCTTCATATGCTTCATATACTTGTTTTCAGAAGTTGTGCGTCTTGTGTAATTTATTAAAATTAGATGATTGGTGCTACAGAGTACTGTAAATACCGTGATTGTCATGGATTGCTGCTGACCAAGCAGAAGAGAAGACAGCATGTTGCCTTGTAAAGAGTTAGTGTAGGAAGCATCTTTGCTTTCTAGTATGATTATACATTGGTTAAAAAATTATCTAAATCTATAAAACTCTTGGTAGAGTTTTCTGGTTTTAAGATAGGTTTCATCTTATACTCTGAACTGGAATCACTATCTGCACTCTCAAATCCAAGCTCTGTACTGCTCAAGCTAATGGATGTGTTATGTCCAGCTCCAAATAGAGCAGAATGAAAATTGGTGGGTGTAACACATTCCTTTGCTTCCCTTTTTACAGCTTTATCAGTTCATCAGCTGGCTGCTCAGGGAGAAATGTTATATCTGGCCACACGTATTGAACAAGGTGAGAGGGATGGAGTTTAAATGCTTTCTTTTATACCCTGTTGTGCTTGACTTTTTCCCCAAAGCTGTGTTAAAAAAAAAAAAAAAAAATCCTCAGTCCTGGTACAAATTGAAGGACATTTGAGGTATTTGTTCTTTGCAGATGTGGACTGTTGTTTCACATCAGTTTTTTTTTTATTCACTCACTGCTATGATTTGGCTTTGAAATTAAACATTAGTGTTAATAGGAGTTGTAAGTAAATCCCTTCCTCCCACTGCTCCCCAGCTATATAGGTAATCCATGGAAATGAGAAGGGAGAATCTGTTAGTTCTGTTAGAAGAGTTAATTTTTTTTTTAATGATCTTTGTAATTTAGAAAACGTTTTTATTAGTGGTGGCTTTCCAATTCTATTTAATCAGTCGACATACAGAGCTATATGTTGGTGATTTAAGCCAACATATGCAATATAATAGTGCTACTTATTCTGAGTTGTGTGATAGTCTTTAGTGTGATGTTTGTGCATCCATAATATGTACAGTTGAATTTTTGTACATGTAACGTACTGAATTGAGACCGTTAATAGTATATTCTTGTTGTACTATGAGTACTGTCAGTGTATTTCACCAGTTCATACAGTGCTTTAGTGAAAGGGAGTACTAAGTTGCATATTTTTTCTTTAAACAGAAAATGTAATCAATCATAAAGATGAAGAAGGATTTACTCCTCTGATGTGGGCTGCAGCTCATGGGCAGATAGCAGTAGTGGAGTTTCTCCTCCAGAATGTAAGGAAAAAAACACACTTAAACTTATTTACTATTTAGTTCAATTTGCCTTCTGAAGTTTTTCAATACTGCTACATGCTTAAAGTTTTAAAGCTAAGGTCTGTGTAAATCCTCACATTAAAAAAAAAAAAGTGTGGTTAATTTGTGGTTTGTTTTTTTTTTGCCAGGGTGCAGATCCTCAGATTTTGGGGAAAGGGCGAGAAAGTGCCCTCTCACTGGCTTGCAGTAAGGGATACACAGATATTGTCAAAATGCTGCTTGACTGTGGAGTTGATGTCAATGAGTATGACTGGGTAAGACTCTAGCTTGAGTTTATATCAGAGGGTGCTTTGGTCAGAAATTTGAAACAGGCCACAGCACTGGCTTGGGTTTGAAAATTGTTCTGCCTCTTTTAAAATACTTGAGAGTTTCAAGACTTCCATAGGATAAGAGAGTTCTGACTTCCTAGTACAAAGAGAATGAGACTGACACTGAGTCCTTGTAGAAGGGTGAGCTTACAGTCTAAACAGTAGACAAAAAAAACGGTGGAAGTTGTGAAGAGCTGAAGCAGAACCTCATTTTTATAAAACCTGTGAAGTCTCTTACTGATACAAAGACATATACTTGTGTGTTAAGGAATCACAATTGCAGACTACTAAATCATTAAATGTCTAAGGCTTTTCCCTGCTTTTGCAGAATGGAGGCACACCTCTACTATATGCAGTACATGGGAACCACGTGAAATGTGTAAAAATTCTCCTTGGTAAGCAGACTGCCCAAACTGAATTACCTGTAATAATTTACTATCAGTTCTCTTTGTTAGAAATGTGAGTTTCTTTTCATATTTTACATAGAAAGTGGTGCTGATCCAACTATTGAAACAGACGCTGGCTACAATTCCATGGATTTGGCTGTAGCCTTGGGCTATCGGAGTGGTGAGTACTGCAAATGTAAATTCTTTGATTTTTATTTTTACTGTTCCTTGTTTATATAGCTGTTGTAATGACCTCATTGAGGTTTTGCAGCTGTAAGAAGATCCCTGTCCTACAAGTGCTAGTACACCTAAATATATCGGCTCTTTCTCTCAGAAAGCCAGGTACCTAGCAAGAGAATGTCACTGACCTGGATCTGGATGTGTGGGCACAATTAGTGGTGTGTAGGGCTGATGCAGCCATGATCTAGAGAAGGGGAGCTGAGCTGCTCTTCCCCCACCCCATACAAAGGAGTGTGTGTTGCACTGGATGATAAGAGGCCTGCAGCCCTCCTGAACCCCTCACCCTGGTGCTCTGTTGATAGGCGTGATGTGATGTAGTTTGCAAAACCTTCCCTTCTAGCTCCAGTTTATCTTGGAGGCAGATAGTAGTAGTGCCAGGATCAGTCAATTGAGCTACCTTACTTGGCTTTAGAAAACAGAGGCAAAGAAGGGACTCATAATTGTTTTTCCTTCATGCTGCCTTCATTTTGAAAGCTGTGAAATGTCTGCCATTACGGAAATGAACTGATTCCAAAAGTAAGCTCAGCACTGCATGTGTAGCCTCTCCAAGCAGAGCCCTGTGCTAATGGGAGGGTCAGTAATTTCACAGATGTCTAGGTGTAGGACTACTTCAAGAGTTCAAGCTCAAAACATTCCAGAGAAGTAGATTGTAATAAACGTCCTTGCCTACTTTCCATTTATAGGCTTAAAATTTTCTTTTGGTATGCTATCTGCCTATTCAAACCAGAGAACAGATCATCACCTCCAAAAAACATCATCTGCCTTACTGAATGTATTGGTTTTGCATTATATGAGACTCTTATTTCTGAAGGGATGCAAACTGTCTTCCCAGGGTGAATTTATTCCTGTCTGGTTTTTTATTAAAGGATTGTACAGGACAAGCCAGCATCTACCAGGGAAAAAATAGTACAACCATAAAAATGTGGAAAAAAACCATTGAACGCCGATTAACCTGTTCTTTTTTTTTTTTTTTTTTTTTTTTTTTCCCTCGGCTTTAGTTCAACAGGTTATCGAGTCTCATTTATTAAGGCTACTTCAAAATATCAAGGAATAATGGTTGGCTCTTCTGCGGGTGTCAGTTGTTGGCTTGGAGATTTGAAGTGCTTTTTAGCCCTCTAATCAGTGACGAAGGTTGTTTGTTTTGTAACTTTACCTCAGTTCAACTATTTGCTGGTTTTAGTTAAGCTTTTTCATATTCTTCCTCTTCTTTCATTGTTGTTCATAGAAATATGTCATCTTTTTCTTAAATATATTTTATATAATTTTAGGAGAAAAAGTCAGTTGTGCTTGGAAAACTTTGTAAATAAAACCAGTTTTGACCATCTAAATGCTTACACTGAGCACAGTGGGTGGCCCAGTGCCAAGTATCCTACTTAATCACCTTATTGATACATCTTCACAAGAAGAAATTTGTTTAGCTATTGAGGTATCTCACCATAGAAGATAGATGCTTTTACTGTTAATAATACCAAAATGTGCACCATGCGTGATTGTTTTCAAGATCCCTAGCTAATATTACTGTGTCAGCTCTTGGCTTTGTCTGATTTTTAAGAAGTTGGTAATAAATTGAAGGACATCGGTAGTTTAATTCCTGCTTGATTTCTTTCTACCTGCCTCTGCCTTCCTGTTGTAGTCCTGAAACATCTAGGCCAGAGTATCCTAAATAGAAATTTCTCTGGTATAAGGAAGTCTTAATTGCAAGTGCAGATTGCCAAGCTCATTAAATATCCTCCCTGCAGTTGCTGGAAGTAGACATCAGCTGTATGAGAGGAGAAGACAGAGCCTACTGCATCCCAAGTGTAGTCCTTTGGATCACAGAATCATAGTGTATCTTGAGTTGGAAGGGACCAACTGCCTGCTCCTCACAGGAGCTTACTTAAAACTAAATCGTATGACTTGGAGTGTCATCCAGATCCTCCTCGATTGGATGCCATGACCATTTCCCTAGGGAGCCTGTTCCAGCAACTGGCTGCCCTGTCAGTGAAGAACCTTCCCCTGATGCAGCTTCATTTCATTTCCGTGTGTCCTGTTCCTGGTGACCAGAGGGGAGATCAGCACCTCCTCCTCTGCTGGCCCCCTTGAGGAAGTTGTAGACTGCAATAAGGTCACCCCTCAGCCTTCTCTTCTCCAAGCTAAGCAAGCCAAGTGACCTCAGCTGCTCCTCCTAAGTCTTGCCCTTAAGACCTTTCACCATCTTGGTTCCCCTCCTCTGGACACACTGTAATAGTTTAATGTCCTTATACAGAGGCACCCAAAACAGCACACAGTGCAGCGGAGAGTGGGACAATCCCTTCCCATGGGCCAGCTATTCTGTGCTTGATGCACCCCAGGACTTGGTTGGCCTTTTTAGCTGCCAGGGCACGCTGTTGACTCATATTCAACTTGCTATTAACCTGAAACCCCAGATCCCCTCTGTGGGGCTGCTCTTCAGCCTCTCATCTCCCAGTTTGGAGGGATGCTGTTTAGTTAGAACAGCAAGTATGATTTTGAAATTAGTTGAAAAAGCAGGCAATGTTAACTGATTTTCTGGGACCCCTGCACTTAGTCAAAACTGCACTGACTGATGGGACAAGATAGCTTTGCACAAATAACAGACAAGCTTGTGAAAGAGACTTTTCAGCATTTCCTCTGATAGTACATATGCATCCCCCATGTGGTGTTGATGTGTTTCCATAAGCATTTCTCTGTTGTGTCCACTAGAGGTCTGGCATCTATTCACATACATACACCCCTAATCCCCACCTTCCTTCCCCAGACCATGGGTAGTGAGCCCAATCTCCAAATGACTTTCCACCTAGAGTTCACAAGACACGAGCAGACCTACGTAACTTACTGTATGCCTAGTATAGTGTGTCTACCACTATGCCACCATAGTGTGTTTAATTTTTCTATTTGAAAATCATTACATATGCAAAAGAAATCAATACTGTTTAAAGTACATGCACTATGGTCCCGACCAAAGGTACTAGAAGGCTGGGGAATAAGCCAGCCAAGTTCTTTTGAGTCAGAGCCAGAGAAATAATTCAAAATGCCAAGTTTGTTATTTCAAAGTGACTGAATACACAATAAGGGAAAACGTAGGAAAAAAAAAATTTCAAACCTGCATGGATTAAACCTGAATTTCTGGCCAAATTTCTCTCTGACTCTGTACTGAAACATCTGTGATGTAGAGAAGGTGTAAATTGGGTGAGAATTAAGCTCTGAAAGGTTGGTTGTGTGAGAACCAGTCCAGAGATCCATTTCTTTCCTAAAGCTGAAATCTGAAATGTCATGAACCTTAAGGGAGTTGAAGCAAGAAAATCTAACTGATCTTGCAGGCGTTGGTGAAATCCGTGCTGCATTTAAGTGAGTATTACCTGTCTCCCAGGCTTTGACACTTGTATTTTTAGGTAGGGTATGCACCAGCTCTACTGTATCATCCATGATTAAATCAGATGAAAGAAACAATAAATGTGACATGCTTTGGAAGCAAGAGGGAAAATAATCAAAATCTAGAAAAAGAAGTTTTATTTTAAGTAATTTTAAAATAACATGAAATGGCTATTACTGTAAAATTGCATATTAGAAATACTGAGATTTAACAGTGTTGTGGTTTAACCCCAACAGCTAGGACCATGCAGGTGCCGGCTCACTTCCCCCAGTTGGGATGGGGGAGAGGATCATAAGAGTAAAAGTGAGGAAAGATTTGTGGGTTGAAACAAAGACAGCTTAATGGGTAGAGCAAAAGCCGGGCACACAAGCAAAGCAAAAGAAGGAATTCATTCACTATTTCCCATCAGCAGGCAGGTGTTCAGCCACCTCCAGGAAAGCAGGGCTTCATCACGCATAATGATCACGTGGGAAGACAAACACCATGGCTCCAGACATCCCCCCCCCCCGTTGGTGGGCAGTGGGAGGAGCAGAAAAGGCCTTGAGAGGTTAGCAACAACCAAAACCACCAGCGTGCTACCAACACTGTTTCCCATGCCAAATCCAAAGCACAGCACCATACCAGCTGCTAGTAAGAAAGCCAGCTTCATCCCAACCAAAACCACAACAAATGGCCTTTGTCAAAACAAATGTTGGACTTCCATGTTTTTTGAAAAGCAACGCAAATAAAATGCAAACTGTGTTTTCTTGAAATAGCATAACCTGAACCATTTCTGATTAATTTTTAAGTCATCTTATGTGTTATATATGTACGCACAAGGAACAGAATTTCCTTTTCTGTGTTACTTGTGTTACAGGAAAGTACTTGTTCTAAATGATGAACCTTCAATATCTGCTTTATATTTTGTCTTGAACTTCAGGCAGCATTGATTTAATATATAGGAAATAAACTGACTAATTCTTAACTACTGCCTGAAAATGTATCCTAAAAAATGCATTTTTTGGATTATATGGGAAGATACTGAAACAGAGAAATGTAGATTAAGACAGCAGAATGTAAAATCTCTTCCATCTTTTTGCTGTAGAATTTCAAGCAATTGTCAGATAGTCATCACCAGGCATCCCACAGAAATGAGTACAAAGGTGAAGATGGTCATCTTCCAGAAGCTGTTTCCTGTATTAAGAGCCCTTTCTATAGCATAACACCATGCTGCTAAGGCAATGAACATGGAACTGAAGCTTGCTGTGGCTCTTCTGGGGGCCCTGCAGGGAACAGCCAGCAGTATTTCATGAGCTATGATTCAAACACCCTGAAGAAAACTTTGAGTTAGCAAACTAGGAGGGGAAAAAAAAAAAAAATCTATGCAAAGAAAAAGCTTTACTCACTGGAAAAAAATCACTGTCAAGAAAGCAGACAACTGTGGATTATGCAATATTAACAGCATGCTTCACATACTTTGTGTTTCTCTGAGGCACAATGACGAATTTTTGTTTCTCTTGGTGTAAATACTTCTCAGCATTCAGTTTTCTTTGTTTATAGTGGTAAAAATTGTAAAGCCCCTGACTCAAGTGTTGGTAAGTGTTTTGAAATGTCAGCCTGCTGATCTTGTTTCAGTGACCAATTTCCGTAGCCTGTGACAGCAGGCAGAAGTCACTAGGAGTGACCTGTGAACCACACACACGGGTCTGGAAGCAGCAGGGTTTCCTTGCCACGGCATGCCACGTGACCAGAGGAGTTTGAAAATTCTGCAGCCAAAATCTTAACTCCAAGTTGATTCTCTCCAAAACTTTTTACTTAAAGCTCTTGCCAATGTAATTTCTTATGGGAATGTTATTAAAGTATTTTACATTTGAACTTGAATGACGGCATACTGTATTCCAGACCGTGAGCAAACAAGTTGCTTTTCCTGATTAACTCAACTATTCTTGCCAAATCCAATCACAGATGTCACGAACTCTGCCTTACAAAGCAGACTGGCTAGCACACTTCCATGTAGTAATAACAGCCAAGTGCTTTAGAGCTGCACAAAGTCTCTGTCTCATTCACTCACATTTGACTTTGCAGGGTATTCTGGTCTACTCAACAGCAGGGGTACGCAACAAATGAACTCGTCTGCAATGCAGTGGGTATGACATTTGTCAGAATTAACATTCATTCACAGCTACTCCTGGCTGAAATAGCTCAGCAACCTTACAGTGCAAGACAGGCAGGCTTCATCTGTCTGGCAGGGAGGTAAAAGAAAGCTAAAGAAGCCAGCAGCTCTGTTCGTAGAGGGCAATAATGTAGGTGTGAAGTAAGAAGGAGAAATCAAAATTTATACATCCACTCAAAGGAATTCTACTTTTTCACAGTTAGGCAACAGCTGAGACAGAAACTGAACCAACAAAGACAATGAAGAATAACCATAGACTGTTAATATTTGATTATAAAAAGTTAAGATGCTAGAGCCTATAAAGCCATTCTCAAAGGAACTGTGACCAATACCTCCTGCTCCCCACCCTGGTAATGCGGTTAGTGTAACTAACACCATTTTATAACGCAAGCGGCCATTCTCTGGGACCCAGTGGGTCACATATTCAGTCCCTTTCCCTCATCATCAGGCCCTGAAGGCCCTGTGCTCCAAGTAGACGAACCAGATTTCTGCTTCCCCTCCCTACTGGCCTCCAGGTTGCTGGGTGCCAGACCAATTACTCCCTTCCTTGCTGGCCTTGAAGGTCCCAGGCCAACCTGGTGGTGTTGATGGCCCCACCAAAGAACAGGGAAAAGCGTAACAGCACCCACAGCACTGTCTGTAAAACCAAGCAGTTGCAAGTCCTGCGGGGACTGGGACCAGAACTGCTGCCGGACAGTGACAACGTGACAGCCTACTGGACAGGG